AATTAAATAGAGAATTGAAATRGATGATTCCTACAATATTGGGGAATTGGATGCTTACTATAACATCGGGAAATTTGAATGGTGGAAATTGATTCTTATACCAGAACAAACATGTTCATGATCAATTTTATTTTACAAACCAATAAAACAAATAATTGATTTGTTCAAAAGATCGATTCAAGAGGAAGTGAGGTGGATTCTTGATTTGGTATTTACTACATAAATAGTATATATAAATAAGTGTTAACATGTTGCAAACATAAATAGTATATATAAATAAGTGCATACATAATTAATATTTACATGTTAAAAGAGCGGTAACTAAAATGTTATTTCAAATTGTTGATTAATTATTTGTTGAGTATATATATACATATATCAAATGTGTGAGCTTTGTCCTCAACTAGTATAAACTGCGAACCGAGAGGGGATGAGCCGATTCAAGGGAATGGGATTTTCTATGTGTCTCCGAGCATTACTTTCCATCCGAAAACAATATGTAATGTTGATTGAAACAAATGTCGYGTTAGGAATAGAGGGATTCGAGAGATACTTGTTTTCGAGATTAGTAAGATAATACCATGCCAAACCGTTGTYTATTTTGACTTAACGAGACCCTTAGCTAAAGCTCCCTAGATATCTMGKGTGACTAGCCATGAGAAGAATCAATTATATAGAATTTCTAACTTCTCTTCTGATATATTGTAATGTTCAAAACCGTTAAAGAATCATGTTTATTGTGATTTTTGATTAATTTGGAAAATCCCAATTATTTAATGTAATCTACCAAAAAACAAGAAACTGAGGATGGCGAAATCAACACATGCCATAGATGAGAAATCATTTATATTTTGTTTTAGTTACATAAAAAACAAGTTTGGATTCATACTGTGATATCGCGGCGACAATAGTACAAACTAATAGACTAAAATAAAAACGAAAATATTGTGATTTAAACAGAGAATGTTTTTTCCTGAATTTTTATTTTGAGATATTAAGTTAGCATATTGTCACAAATATGGATAAAACTAGATCCAAAGTTGTATGTATGTACAAGTAGTACATGTAAACTTTTGATTAGTTTTTTTTTTTTAAACAGTAAGGTGATTCGTACGTTACTAGTTGTTATAACTAACCCCCAGCGTAACAAACATTGCTCATCTTCTATAACTGATGTATGTAGTGTGCACAGCAAAATATCTAAGATAAGAGGCTTAGTTTGACAAGTCTGAGCTTCTAAAAACAAGGAAGACAAGAAAAACTCACGACTTGTGAGCAATAGGAAGACACAAATAAATATGATATTACATACTTGTGAGCCAGAAAGACAAGAAAAATAAAATTTATTTTATACATAAACGGCTAGTTTTTGCAGTAAGCATGCTTCAAACATCATTGGTTGTCACTGTAGTTTCCACATCATTACCAGGTTCTGGAGCAGTTGCATTCCCTTCCAGGTATTCTAGTATTTCTCTCATACTAGGTCGATCTTCTGGGTTATCTTGTGAGCACATCAACCCAACTTTCAAAATCATTTTGGCCTCTTCA